CCAGGCAACAGTACTGGAGTGGATTGCCGTGCCCTCCTCCAGGAGATCTTCCCAACCTAGGGACTGAACCTCTATCTCTTATGTCCTCCTGCATGGGCAGGCGAGTTCTTTACCACTAGCACCACCTGGGAAACTCTCTTAAGAGAATAGGGGATGGGCTGAAGGTTTCAGGTGTCTAATCAAGGCTTTATCTTTCTGGTCCCCATCCAGGAGTCCACCAAGAGTCCTCTCATTAGGACAAAAGACCACCTACCACCCAGGAAACTCCAAGGGACTTAGGAGCTCTGTGTCAGATGGTTCTATCACTCAGGAAATTACAAGGGTCAGTTCTGTGTCAGGAACCAGGACAAAGACCAAATAAATATTTCTTTTTATAAATCACAATATCACAGCCCATTGGGAAAGGGCCATCACTTATTAATTCACTCAATAAACTGTAATGAGGACCCACTCTGTCCCAGGCCCTGGGCTAGGTCTGGGGACCAGTAATGGTGAATAAGATACGCAGGAATAGACAAGCCTTGTGGGCTTTCCCAACGAGAAAGGGTAAAGAATAAATACACAGACATACACTGAATGTCAAGTAGGATTGCCAGATTTAGCAAATAAACATAGGGATTAATTAAATTTGAATTTCAGGTAAACAATTTTTTTAGTATATCATATATTGCATACTGTATACTATAGTGTGAGCTGGACACTCTTGGTAGTTGTTTGTTTTCATTTTTGTAATGTAAGTGTATGACTGAGGCTTTGATTGCTGACATCCATCTCAAAGATGGCTATTTGGCTATCTCAAGTAGACACATTGTCAGCCACACACTAGATAAAGAACCATGCCACTTCCTCACACTGAGGTTCCTTTGCTTTAAAGATCCTGGTTGATCTTGATAACTGATCATTTGGAGCCACTTTTTGCTTTCTATTTTCTCTTACCAAGATTTCAATTTCTGCTCTTATATTTTAAATTCGCTAATAAAAAGTGAGCCTGTGAAACCCTCGACCTTCATGAAAGTCCTAGGCCAGAGCCCACACTCTCCCTCTCTAACCTGAGACCTCCTTGTGCAGCCCCAGGTATGCAATGTAATTTCCAGGTCTTATAAGTAATAAGCCTTTGTTTTTTCAGTTTCCTGATCACTAGTGCTAAGGGGTATCTTGCATTCATCATTAGAACTACAAGGGCTTGTCCAGTCACAGCATTGATTACTGACAGTTTAACAGTTATTGGCATATAACACATACTAAAATAGTTCTCTGGGGCCTCCCTGGTGGTCCGGTGGTTAATACTCACACTTCCATCACAGGAGGCATGGATTCAATCCCTGCTTGGGGAACTAGGATCCCACATGCTGTGCAGCTCAACCAAAAAAAAAAAAAGTACTCTTTGTTTATCTAAGATTCAAATTCAACTGGGCAGCTTACATTACATCTAGCAGCCCTAATGACAAGCTGCCCCCGAGAAGATCCCAAGGATAAGTAAGAATGTGTCAGAGCACAGGAGCCACATTACAACCACGGGAAACCCCACTCATGGTTTCACATTTTTCAATGCAGTAATTACAACCACTTTCAGGTTTTGGTGGGGGCCACTGGGAAGTGTGCTAAAGGCTAAGAGTATCACTTATTAGTGGTTCAGGGACCACCCACCCCCCAGTCTACACCATATCCCTGCTTCTTCTCCATCCAGCTCCCAGTGTCTGTCCACAGACCCCAATAAAGTATGATATCTCAAGGAGGAAGATATGTACAACTGAAGGACACAGGCTTGCTGACCTGAACTGACATCACTCCAGGCCTGAGGCACACACCAATGGGGCTGCCTGGCCCGAAAGCTTCCCGGGAACACAGCCATCCGTCCAGGGTGAACTTTGGGGCTGACAAGGAAACAGCAGGCTGTCCTTTAGCGCAGGGGCTCAGCAAACTCTTAGGGATATTTTAGGATCAGAGAGTCTACTTAAATCCTGAGTCCCTCAACACCAGGGTCCACAGAAGCTTTCAGCACCTCTGTTCTCTGTTTTTCCCACAAACAGAATCTAAACTGAAAGCTCCAGAAAGGCAAGACTGGATTCCTCTCCAAGACCCACACAGACGTGATCCAGCATCTATTCCATAGAATAAATTCCTTAATAGCAACAACAAAGTAGTAGTAATATTAACAAGGAGGAGAAGCTGCCAGTAAGAGCCTAAACTATGCACTAAGAACTATGCTAGAGGAGAAAAAATTATCTCATTTTATCCTACAGCAACACTTAGAGAAGCTAGGTTTTCTCCCTCTACTTTACAAATCAGGAAGTGAGCCCAAACAAGCTAAACAGTTTGCCAAGGCCATGTTATTAGAAAGGGAGTCTTGATTCACACCCAGATCTGCCCTCAAAGCTTAACATCTCAATTTTCTGCCACGTGATATGTTTTTTGTACACCGCACTTAGTTTAATGCACTCGTTTTATAGGCCAGGAAGAAGTAGAGAATAGCAGAGCAGTGATGGGCGTGGCACCAGTCAGAGTGCCTGAATTCAAATCCCTGCTCTGCCACTTTCTGTGTGACTGAGAAAAGATTTCAATTTCATCATCTGTAAAACAGGGATAATCAGTTATAAGACTGTGACAACCCATGTTGGCTACAGTTGAAGTCTAGAGAGAGCTGAAGGGAGAACAGACTCTAGTCCAGATGGATGAGTCCTCAGGAAAGTTCCCAGGGTGCAGAATTACCCTTACCCTAGGAGGGGCAAGGAGAGAGGAACCCCATAGAAGATCTAGCCTAGCATACTTCAAAGAAAACCAGGTTCCACAAAGACCCAAGTCTGTGCCTTTCATCTTGCCAAGAAACTCAAGGGACTTTCTAGTGGTCCAGTAGCTAAGACTCTGCCCTCCCAGTGCAGGGGGCCAGGGCTCAATCCCTGGTCAGGAAACTAAATCCCATGTACTGCAGCTAAGAGTTCTCCAGCCCCAACTAAAGATTTCCCCATGCCATAACTAGAGGATCCTTCATGCCATCACTAAGACCTGGTACAGTCAAATAATGAATGAATTAATTTTTTTCAAAAAAGGAACCCAAGTCAAAAGGATAATCCACTGGAATTCTTCCATCTGTGCATGTGAAGTCCAGGAAGCTCTGCTCTGATGCCTTGGTGACTTTGGGCAAGCCCCTTCTCAAGATCTTAGGACTCCAGACTTCTCATCCATTAAACAAGTCAGCTGGATGAGACAATCTCTGAAGCCCCATACCTCCCCAGCTTTTAATTTTAAGACCTTTAATCTGAAATTAGGTCAGAGATCAGGGGAACACAAAGTCACAAAATGTCCAGGCTGGATCTTGGGAATGACTGAACACAGGCTCCTGGTTAGGCCAGTGCAGCAATAAATGAGACCCACATGGGCCTTGCCAGCATAGGGTGAATACTGGGGTGAGACGGGTGTTAAAGGGATTATTGCAAAATTACCTGAGTGTGAGTCTTTTTGCTATGTGTTTGTTGAGCATCTTCTTTGTGCCAAACCTTTGCTATAAAGTGGACAATTGCTATAAAGTGGACAAACATTTGGTATAAAGTGGACAACAAGGCAGGCATAGTCCCTGGCTTCCAGGGCTTATTGTGGTAAATGGTTTTAGGGAGGAAACTTAGAGAAGGATCTGGGAGGGTGTCCCTGAGGAAGTGAACTTTAAGCTAAGATCTGAAGGATGAGTAGGAGTGGACCCTGACTGATGGTTATGGGGAGAACTGCATTAAATGATTTGCTGTAGGTGAGCAAAGAAGTCTTTGTCAGGGCTGCCAGGAGAATCCCACAGAACCCTAAACTCTTAGAAGACAGAGCCAAGTGCTTAACCAAGTGGTCAATTTAACATTTCCGTAATGACTGTCAGCCTATGTCTCCTGACGCAAAGCACAAAGTAAAAATAATATCACCTCTGTGATAGTCCTGCCAGAAATGCGTAGCCTGAATCTAAATGTGAAGTCACATCAGACAAGCCCAAATGGAGGGCCATTTCTGCAGAACAAGTTGGCTTGTATCCTTCAAAAACAGCATCATGGAAAACAAAGATAGATTGAGAAAATGTTTCAGACCAGAGACTAAAGAGACAGTGCTAAATGGGCATCATTGAGACGATTCGCAAATAACTGAATATGGACTGTTCATTAGATAAGAGTATTGTGACCACTGTCACATTTCCTGAGTTTGATCATTGTACTTTGGCTATGTTAAGAAATGTCCTTGTTCTGAAAATACACAGAAAAATTCCTGGGGTTAAAAGGACATGTTGTCTGTGTTTGTCTCCCAAATGCCTCAGAAAAAATGGAGACATAAAGCAAATGTGGTAAGGTGTAAGTGAAAGTGAAAGTTGCTCAGTTGTGTCCAACTCTTTGAGACCCCATGGACTATACAGTCCATGGAATCCTCCTTCCCTTCTCCAGAGGATCTTCCCAACCCAGGGATTGAACCCAGGTCTCCTGCGTTGCAGGTGGATTGTTTCCCAGCTGAGCCATCAGGGAAACCTGGTAAGGTGTAAACAGTTGATGAATTGGGATGAACAATATACAGTTCTTGGTACTGTATTTTAAACTCTTCTGATTTTTTTTCAAAATAAAAAGTTATCAATAAACAAATAGCGAGAATTCCCTGGTGATCTAGTGGTTAAGAATCTGCCTGGCAATGCAGGGGACACAGGTTCGATCCCTGGTCCGAGAGGATCCCACTATGTGGCAGCTACTGAGCCCAAGGACCTAGAGCCCAAGCTTCGCAACAAGAGAAGCCACGACATGCTGCAAGGAAGAGTAGCCCTTCACTCACAGCAACTAGAGAAAGCCCTCACAGAACAACAAAGACCCAGAGCAGCAAAAAATAGATTAATTAAAAAAAATAGACAAGTAAAAAAAGAAAGAAAAGTGCCAAGTGGTCACCAGCCTCGTCTTGGTGGCCGACAGTTCCCCATCCCATATACCCTCCCCTCCTAACCCCATGGAATAATGCCTCCCTGCCCCCCACTCCCACGGGGAAGAGGATACCTCCTCTGTGTTGGGGACATTGACGATCTTTTTAGAGAGCGCGACATGGCCCACCACTCCCATGTCCAGGGGGAACACGATCTCCGAGTCAGGCACCACCAGGCACTCCTCGAGCACAGCATCCTTGTGGACGTTGAAGAGCCGGGTGGCCAGCTCCGCGATGCCATTCCGGGCCCTGTACATGAACAGGCTCATGCGGTCGGCCTGCAGCAGGAAGCACAGCTTCTTCATGACATTGAAGATGCACTTCTCGGCCTGCAGGTTGTCCTGAAAGTCCCGAAGGAGGTCGAAGATAATTTCACTCTCTTCCACGCTGCTCAGCGGGTGGTAGTTGCTGAAGTCCACAGCTGCCTCCCTGGGTCCCAGCAGGTCTGAGATGACCTTGGCCCGGTAGCGCAGGTTGTAGTACTGTTTGGCAAAGCCAACATTCGAATCCAGAAACTTCTCTACCTCCTCTGCCGTCACCTCGCCCATGACTGGGAATTGCACTGTCTATTTCTGTGGATGAGGGTGAGCCTGGCCTAGACTTCCCTGAGTCTTGTCTGCGAACCTCGCTGGTGTGGCTGCAGAGCAGAGTGAGTGAGCTTGGGAGATTAAATCATTAATATTTCCCCAGAACAAGGATTATGAGGATCAGGGTGTTCCGGATGCTCCTGGGCCCCAGATGGGAGAGGTGAGAGTTCTCTTTTCACCTTGGTCCACTAATAGGAGAAGAAAATTTGGCACAGAGCTGGCATTGAGATCAAGTAAAAGAAAACACCAAAAACAGAGGCTGCAAACTGCTAACACAAGACATCATACTGTTATAAACATGCTTTCTCTGCCCTGTATGGTATTTTTCTTTAACATTTAACATGGAAGCCCATGTTTACTGTTTAAGAGGTTCATTTAGCTTCTCTCAGAGAATCAGAGGATCTAACAACTCCATATCCAGTTCCTCTGCAGCAGAAATGGCTAGAGCTGAGAGGAACTGGGCATCCACCTCTTGCCCCTCGCCCCTCACCCCACTCTTCTGCACCCCCGTCCCCAGGATCTCCCTAACATACAGCTTCCCTCTGCACGCTCGCCACTGAACCTGCTTCCCTTGTGTACATTATGGGCCAAATCTCCACATTACATCTCTGAATTTGAAGGATCTTTATAAAAACAGGGTTTCCCTGGTGGCTCAGCTGGGAAAGAATCCACCTGCAATGAGGGGGACCTGGGTTTGATCCCTGGGTTGGGAAGATCCCCTGGAGAAGGGAAAGACTACTCACTCCAGTATTCTGGCCTGGAGAATTCCATGGACAGTATAGTCCATGGGGTTGCAAAGAGTTGGACACGACTGAGTGACTTTCACTTTTCACTTTATAAAAACAACACCTTTCATAGTTTTTTTTTTCTATTGCAATACACATGTTTACTATAGAAAATACACAAAGAAGACCCTTAAAATCACCCATAATCCTGCCATTCAGAGGTAACCTTTAGTTAACATTTTTGTTTCTGTGCTTTACGTAGAGGCTTAACTTTCTATTGTCCTCAGTCCCTGATCTTTGGTTTGGCATTTTAGGGTGCTTTTGCTGGCTGCAGTCAGTATCTTCTTGGGTTGTCAGTCAGAAACACACACAATAGTGTGGATTTTATCAGCTCCAGTGAGGCTCAAAATACCAGAATCCTCATCAGGTTGTCTCTCCTAACCCACTGGGGCAGGAAAAGAGTGCATTCTTTCTGGATGAAATACACTATAGTGACTATGGATATATATATGTGAGAGCCTGGCACACCTGTGTTGTAAACACTGTGGAATGTAGGATCATAGACTGTGCTTGGCACTTTGAGCTGTGTAAGTGAACTTTAATGGAAAGTATTACTAGATCACTTGCTTTATTGTAGAGTGTAATTAATTAATTCCTGGGATACTGTGCCTGTTCAACACTGTGTATATGGATGACCCTTGGTCTGGTGGACCTTGCAAAAACTTTTCCAAACACATCTACCACAACTAACGTGAGCCCTCTGTCTGGAATGAATCCCTGGCTTGCCAGCTCCTCAGCCTCAAGGTCTCAGCTCATGCTAGTCACCCCTAATTGTCTTATCTCAAGGAGCCCCAATTACTCTCTCCCCAATTCCTGCCTGCATATCATCCATTTAATTCCTCTATTACTATTAAAATGTGTTTTCTTGTTTTATGTTTGTCTACTCTGTCTTCTTCTCTATACCGTGAGCTCCAGTGAGGCCAGGCACCTGTCAGGACTGATTCCTGAGCCTTTGCAAGGCTGCCTAGCATAATCCTTGATGCTCAGTAATGTTGTTTTTAAAAGATGTTAGTGGTGGTTCGTTTTGTGTGTTAGTTGGGCTAAAGGATGCCCAGGTAGCTAGTAAAACATTATTTCTGGGTTTGTCATTAAGGGTGTTTCACAAGAGATAAGGATTTGAGTCAGTAGACAAAGTAATGGATTTTACCCTCCCCAACACAGGTGAGCATCCCCCAATCCATCAGGAGATTGAATAGGGGGGAAAAAATGGTGAGGGGAGGGTGAATTGGCCCTCTGCTTGAGCAGGGACATCTATCTTCTCCTGCCCTCATATGTCGGCACTCCTGATTCTTGGACTCAGACTAGGACTTAAACCTTCGTCTCTTGGACTCACAGTGAATTATATTACTCTGACTAATACAAAGTCCTATATTTCTTTTTTTGGCTTCACTGGGTCTTCCCTGAGGTGTATGGACTTCTCTCTAGTTGTGGCATGTGGGCTTAGTTGTCCTGCAGCATCTGGAATCTTAGTTCCCTGACCAGGGGTTGAACCCCCATCCCCTGCATTGAAAGGCAGATTTCTAAGTAACTACTGGGCCACCAGGGAAGTCCCACAAAATCCTATATATTCTTGATTAAAATTTAGAAAGTATGGGAAGTTACAAAGGAAAAAACTGAAATAGAACATAATCCCAGATTTTATCGTCACCGATAGTCTTGTATATTTTTTCATCCTTCCATAGCTATCTATATTGATACATATATTCTCAACCTTGGCATTTTGGGCTCAGTAATTCTTTGTTGTGGGAAGCTGTCCTGTTCACTATAAAGGTGCTGAGCAACATTCCTGGCCTCTGCCCACTAGATGCCAATAGCACTCCCTCCCCTTTAAGTTGTGGAAATAAAAAATATTTCCAGACATTTCCTAATGTCCCCTGAGATCAAATTATTCCTATTGAGAACAATCGCTCCACTCCTCTGTTGTTTCTAATCTTCTAATAGTATAAATTATGCTCTAATGAACACTTACATTTCTTAGTGGAAATATCTAGAAGTGAAATCCCAGGCCCAAAGAGCTTGCAGCTATCTAAGGGTTTGAATAAATAATGCGAATTTTGCTCTACAAGGCTCTATCAGAGTGTGTGAGGCTGTTCTAACCCCTACTGCATTCCTCAAAAAATTGAGCAATCTTTCTTAATCCTGACATTAACAGCACTCCGAAATTTGGCCCCAATATTCCTTCTTACTTTATTTTGTACAGTTTCTCTACACATGCTCTAAGCTCCACCCTAGTGTTTTCCATTCTCTCTGACTTTGCCTCTTTATTCTTGCTGAGCTCTTGGCCTGTCCCATACCACCCAGTCCAAATGCTGTTCCCACCATGGATTTTTTATGCTCCAGTTAGACTTTTTCTACTTTGAACTCCAAACTATTGGTTTGTTTCCATGTCAATAGGAGTTTCTACATTCTAGGCTGTGTTATTTCTATACGTTTGTACTCTCATCAAACTCAAAGTCTTTGAGGATAGGAGTAAAGCGTTACCCCTTTTAAAAAGTCTCTAAAACAGCCCAGCCCAGGTCCTTTCCTGTCATATGCCCACCAGGCTTAATTCTGGCTGGGAATATAAGCAACTCTTTTGCAAGAAATCTATTTTTACCTTATTTTTCAATATGCCAGAATGAGACAGTCAAATCTGCTAACAAACTTTAGTGCTAGTTGTTGGCTAGGTAGGGATAAGCTAGTATCTGCATCAGGTTACCTCCTATAAGCCTGTTCAATGGGCCTGATTTCAGATGTCAGCGAAGGAAACTTGAAGCTTCTTTCATTGGAAACAGGGGCTACCAGTATGCATAGGAGAGAATGCTTTCTGTAATCCAGTCTAAACACGAACATGTTCTACTTGAAAGAAGAAAACAGGATTGTAGGCCCAACAATGCCACTAACACATTCTGTGACCTTGACAATGTTCTGTTTTCTCTCAAGGCTCTGTTGATTTTCCTAAGAACAAAACAAAAGAGTTGAATAACATTATCTCTAGCACTCCTGGTTCCATGACTCCAAATGGGCTGGGATGAGACAAGACTGACCAGGAATGGCTGACCTCTCTTGTTTCTGACCACAAGCCTTGCCAAAGGATCCTCCCGGAAGGAAAGCTGGAACTACTTATTTAACATAATCTCTACCCCAAGATCTATATTTCACTGAAAAGCTTTGAAAATTTAGGTGACTCAAATCATAGGTGATTTTAAAATATGTGTTGATTGAGATAAAATTCACATTACATAAAAACATCTTTTTAAAGGGTATAATTCAGGGGCTTTTAGTGTATTTCTTCTGTTGTGCCCCCACTAATCTATTTTCTCATCCTCTGGTAAGTACTAATCTCTTTTCTCTGTGGATTTATCTATTCTGGACATTTCATATAAATAGAATTATACAATATGTGTGTGGCTTTTGTGTCTGACCGTTCTCATTTAGCATAATATTTTCAAGGTTTATCCATCCAAAGAGCTTCATTCTTTTTTATGACTTAATAATGTTCCGTTATGATGGATATAGATACCACATTTCATTTACCCATTTATTAGTTAGTGGACATGTAGGTTATTCTCACTTTTTAGCTATGCAAGTCTTTGTGTAGACATGTGTTTTTGGTTCTCTTAGGTATATACACAGGAGTGGAACTGCTGGGTCCATAGGTGGTTTTAAGACACTGAGTTTGGAGGTAAAGAGGAGGGAATAAAGGAAAGAAATAGGGCACAGCAAGGAATCAACTGGGTGAAGGAGAGGTATGTGTGGAAAGGTATTTTGTGAGGCACCTTTTTGGAAAGAAGAGGAGCCTGAAATTCAGGACCTGCTACAATGTGAATGGGTTGTATTGTATGTCAGTGGCCACCACAAATCCTAGTGTTAGGTGAAGTGGTGTCCACAGGCCCCCACTGTTCATCACTTGTGTAAATAGCAATGATGAGGGAACTGAGGATGTTCAACTAGGAAGAGGCTCTGAAAGATTATTGGGAGTGGAGTGTGCCAGCTTGTTCAGTGAGGAACCAGAGAGCCAGACAAGCCAGTAGGTCAGAGACAAAAGTTATTATACTAAGGCAACACCAAGGAATTCCCTGGCATTCCAGTGGTTAGGACTTAGCACTCTCACTGCCAGGGCCCTAGGTTCGATCGCTGGTTGTGGAACTAAGATAGCCCAAGCCTTGCAGTGAGGGAAAAAGAAAAAAGCAATAC